GAAAAAAACTTACAGCAAGAAAATGTTCATGTCCAGACAAAAAACCAAAATTCACTGGAGCTAGTTAAGAGGGTTATAGAAATCATTCACAGATTTCTTTTCAATCAAAATGGCATGAATTGCCAGAATGTCATCCACTGAAGCACCATTGGACATTAAATTTATGGAATTTGCTAGTATCCATCTCAACACTCCCATGTAGTAGGGAAAAGTGTTTACAAAAAAATAGGTTACACCAACAACTGTACATTTATTCTTTATTGTTATTTTAAATCATTCACAAAAAATGATAAAATAAAGTAATGCTCGAATTTGTGCTCTAGACAGATTTAGATAGCTTCTTGGACTTTTGGCTAAGATTAAGTGGGTAGACAGATTTAGAACGAGCCACACATTCCTCCTCTGAGAACATTGTTTCATCTTGAATTAGGCCAATTAACATTAATATTCCTGGCTTCATTCTCTCGTAAATTTCCTTGCACCCTCCAATACAGGGTATGAAGCCCTGAAACTAGCACAGCTGGTGAGATTACAGACATTGCAATTATCAATGAGGAATCACAATGCCATCATCTGCTTCATGTAAACATCTGCTGCTGAGTGTTCTAAATAGAGGTAGCTCAGTCTTTGGGACCAGACTTTGCCAGTGCAACAACTTATGTGCATGACAGCATATGTGCTGACTGAGCATTCCTTCCATTATAAACTAACCCTCCACCCTCCAGTTTTATTGATTTATCTTGGCATGTCATTGAAGACACCTGTAGAAGTCTGGTTAGTCCTCCCCTTGTACGAGGACTTATTACAGAGATAGGGAACCAGCCTTCCTTGAAATACTACTGAATCACAATTCCCAATAACCTCACTCAGTATGGTCAGTGGTGAAGAATGTTGGGAGATGTAATACAGGAACATCTGGAGTACCCTAGACTCTCTGGTTTATTGAAATGTAAGTGCCCAAATTATGGAGTATATGAAAGAAAAGTAGGGCTTATAATTTATTTATCTTATTTATTTGATGTGCCACTTTTCTGTAGAAAATAGATGTTCAAGACAGCTTAAAGTCCAAACAAAACACACAGAGTACAAAACACCAACAAGTAACAAGAAGTAAATTAAAACATGAATAATAAAATAATTGGCCATTAAATAGTCACAAGAGATAAAAGCTCCATTATAATGTGCCTACAATTCTGGCCACCCCCCTTGAAAATGGAAATGCAGAAGCTGGAGTAGGTTCAGAGGAGAACTATGAAGATGTTAAGGGGTAATGGAATCCAAGCTTTGGGAAGGGTTGAAGGAGCTGGACATACAGCTTGCAAAAGAGAAGATGAAGGGGAGTTATGATAGCTGTGTCTATTTATTTATTTATCAAATTTATACGGCTGCCTGTCTCACAAAAAGTGACTGACTCTGGGCAGTGTACAACAATTAATTAAAATAATAAATACATAAAAACAGTCATTATTAAAATGTAAAAACTACAAGGCACAAGAGTTAGTGTTAACCGCAGTAATGGAGCCATCTCAAGATTTCTCCAGTCCCCTGGGACCCCCACGCCTGATGACATAGCCAGGCCTGAGGGACCTCCAGAACATTAACAGGGATGGAGCTAACCTCACTTCAGAGGGGAGAATGTTCTATAAGGCAGGCCCCATGACAGAGAAGGCCCCCCTCTTGGGACCCACCAAGTGTAATTCTCTAGCAGACAGGACCCTCAACATGCCTTCTCTACCAGATCTGATGGAACGGGCAGATATAATCAGGGAGAGGTTCTAAAAGAGAGTATCTAAAAGGTTGCCAACCGCAAGACTTGTTTTCTGTTCAAACTAAGGCAGAACAAGCAGCAACAAGTTGAAATGAAAATGAGATTTAGGCTGGATATTAGGAGGACTTTCCTGGTGGAAGAACTATTAAGCGGTGGAAGCTGCCTAGAACAGGGGTACACAATTCCTCTTGCTGGAGGTATCCAAATAGGGGCAGGATGACCATCTGTTGGGGATGGTTTCCTGGACTGGTGCGGTGGCCAATGGGTTGGACTACAGTGTGCCTATAAGCTTCTTTCCAACTCCAATATTCTGTGTTTAAAGGCCTGGCTAAATAGATGTTTTTAGAGATTTTCTAAATACAAGAGAGCCTGGGGGCCAACCTAGCTCCAGAGGGAGTATGCTTCATAGCCTAGAGAAGATTCAGGAGAAGAACCCTTATCACATTATGGATAGAGAAGTTTCTGTAAGTGGGGGCATCTTCAAAAGAGCCTATTCAAAGAGGTTCCTAACAGAAGAAACAGTGTCTCAGATAGTCAGGCCTTAAATGATTTGGACTTAAAATGTTAACATCAGTATCCAGGACAGATGTAATCTTTGAATCCAGTTTCTTATTAACCAGATGTGATGATACATGGGAACGACCATGGGAGACAGGAGGAAGACCTGCAACCTAGGGCAACACTCTGATAAGACACAGCTCAGTCCGCAGGTTGGGGGGAAAGCATGGGAAGCATTTCAGAAGAAACTCTCCCTAGTTTCCTGAAGACTAGAGAGGAGGGGAGAAATACTTTAAGTCTTACAAGATTTTAATGTAACCTTACAATAAAGATAGTATTGATGCTCCTGGTTGTACTTCTTGTCTGGACTACCTTGAAGGGCTAACACCAGCAGCACATCCATCTTTATCCAGCCCATTACAAAACTTAGGCAACATTTTAGAATACTGACAGCTTCTTGGAGTTTAATGGTGGATAGCAGTAGATTTGGGAGACATCCGCATACTGATAGTGAACCAATTTAAATCACTGAATGACCTTCCCTACCAGTTTCACAAACACGTTGAACAGTATGGAGGCAAGATGGAATTGTATGGGACAACATCAGTCAAAGGTTAGTCCCACACATCAGTCCCACACATCACTATGGCCTGACAGGAAGAACAAGAACCATCAAGGTTTGGTCTTCCAGATGATCTAGAATAGTGTTTCTCAACCTTGGCAACGTTAAGACGTATGGACTTCAGCTGCCAGAATTCCCCAGCCAGCATGGGAAGTTGAAGTTGAAGTCCATGCGTGCTGGCTGGGGAATTCTGGGAACTGAAGTCCACACATCTTAAAGTTGCTAAGGTTGAGAAACACTCGTCTAGAACAATATGAACAATTCTTCAATATGAAAACTGTTGAACAGCCCAGAAGAACTAGTAGGGCCACATTCCGTTCAGTTCCCAACATAGATCATCCTAAACGCTGCAGTATTCTGATTGGACGTGATGGAGGCAAAGAAAGAGGCATTCTTTTCTATAAGCACTGTATGTTATTCTTGATCCATCCTATGATTTCTCCTATTGTACTCTGTTATCATATCTGCTTCTTTCCTCTTAGCTTCTTGATAAACCAAGGCATTAATTTGGGAAGAGGGCCCTTAGGAATACCAATCAATCCCGTACAGATCAGCCAGATCAATGGCAACTCTGAGAGGTGAAAAGGAAACTCTTCAAGCAAATTTAGGAAACCATTTGGATCCAGATCCAATCATTTTAGTCAATCCTCCATCCTGAAAGAGTCTGTACCAGCCACTAGTCTAAAACTGAATCATCTGTCCATAACCATGCAGGACTTGTTGGCTTGGGAAGGACAGACAACTAACACATTAGTCACCCTGCTGCCTAACACCGTCCTGGCTACCCAAATGCAACAATATATACTCAAAATTGGCAGTCTATTTGATGGAGCATTTCATCACTCAGAAGGCATTCCTATTGACTACAGCATGACACCTGCTCACCCTCCAGTTTTAGCCTAAGAACAACCTAGCCAACAGAGCTAGGAAAGAGCATGAGCATTTACTATCCAAGCATATCAAACATTTGCTTACTGATAATGTATTGATTATTTTTCACTTTGTTTAGTTATAATGGTTCTTTTGTAAACCGGTTGTTACCTGCCCAGAGTAATTTAAGATGGATGACCGTATAACATTTCTAAATAAATAAATTGGGGCAATAATCATGCAGACAATGATGAGTCATTTCTGTCCCTCATCTGATTGCATATTACCTATCTAGGCAGCATATGACCTGGTGCAATTCATTCTTTTTCTTTCTTTTTCTTTTCACCTTCCTGGCCAGCTTTTTTCTGGCTCCTCCCAGGTCCATTTGGATGACATCTTGTACAGCTATTTTTTGGGCCTCTTTTGCTAGAAGCCTTTTTGAATCAGCGGCATAATACTGTATCAATTCCTGGAACTGGGTTTGAATCCCATAGAATGAGATCTGGCTGTGCACATCTGATGGTTTCCAATAAGAGCGAAACCTGTCATGTGCCACCTTCTGGTGGTCAATGTAACAGAAAACACCACATGGGACACATAAAACAAAGTAAAAATAGAAAAATCCCTGTTTCCCAAGAAGAGGTAGAGATCTTGTAAGACCTCGTACAGGGGCATGACAGAGTGTAACATCTGTATACCTCTGTCTGTGACAGCTTAAGGAAATGTGGATTATATATACCTTTCTGATAGATTCAGTACAATGCTAGATTCCAGGTGCACGGAGAGAGGGAGAGAAAGCAAATACATTCTTCAGAGGCTAGGTGGGAGCCAACCCATAGAGGCTGCCCTAGCACTGGTCTCAGTAATACTTAGCTTGCAGACAGTTGGGCTTGCCCCAATTTTGGGAGAATGGCAGTGGTTCTGTAAATATCTCCTTTCTTACTGTTATGCTGAGCCACTTGCCTTGTCTCATCCATCCATCGTTTAATTAATACAAAACAGAGTAAGAATTAGGATAAACTCCAGCCAGGATGTTACTAAATACTCTTTGCACCACATGGGCAAGTGCTCAGTGGCACCATTCAACTGGTAACACCAGAAGCCTGGCATCCTCTGGCAAGCCCTGCCTTCTTCGCTTCTGCCAGCAAAGGCTGCTGCTTTCTGAAACAGCCATGCTCTGCATGACTCTTCCTTATGATTGGGCATTTCTTTATTCTCCAAGGAATCCAATTCCAGAGTGGGCAAGAAGTGCAAATGACTGCAAAGCATGGATACCATGGAGGATTAGTCTTGCTTGGGAAGAAGCCATTTGCCTGCCAAAATTAAATCATTTTTGTAACACCTAAACAAGGCTTCTCTTTCTTTCCTTCCATGTCCAGTATTCACCTCCATCTAATTTTCCTTCCTTCCTTCCTTCCTTCCTTCCTTCCTTCCTTCCTTCCTTCCT